AGAAAAAAATTCAACTTTGGCAAGATCCGTTTCTAATATGACTTGGACTGTATGAATTACAGAAATTGTGACATAGGAATATTATTTGGAGAAATTTTAAATAGTACCTTTTTCTTTTAAAGAGAAGAATTTAAACTCTCTGACCCCTGTACTTAGTTTGGTTTTATATGTTTCAGTTTATGTATTTTCTTCTCCTACTCTGCGTCTTCTTTAACAATCTGGTTTCTTTCTTCCTTTTCATTTGGATTTTGAAAACCAGTTTGTTTCTCTAATTCATTTACTTTCTACTTTATTACCTAAAGTTTAGTACTTTAAAGTTTGTATTATTTTCAAGGAATTTGATAAATGTGAATCTAAAACAATTAGTTTGCAGTTGATTCAAAAATCATAATTCAGTTACGCCAGGATGAACCATACCTTAAAAACAGTTAACTATCAGATAACTGATTTATATTAAGGTTAATTTGGGGCTCCTGGCTGGCTCAGTCAGTAGAGCATGCGACTCTTCACCTCGGATCGTGAGTTCAAACCCCATGCTGGGCATGGAGCTTGCTTACATACATATATACATATATAGTAACTTTTTAATAGCCAAAGATTCAACCTTGTACATTTGGAATCAGTTAGTTGCACTTTTAACTCAGAAATCTAGATTGAGAAATAAATGCAACGGTTAAGAACATAAGTTAAGTGCTATAAATATCACATAAATATCGAAACATGTAAGGGTGGGCGCCTTGGTGGCTCAGTCAGTTAAGTGTCTGCCTTTCCAGGTCATAATCCCAGAGTCCCCAGATCAGGCCCCACGTCGGGCTTCCTGCTCAGTGGGGAGTCTGGTTCTCCCCCTGCCTCTCACCCTGCTCTTATGCTCTGTCACTCACTCTCTCTCTCTCTCAAATAAATAAAATCTTAAAAAAAAAAAAGCCTTGTAGGGGCTCAGTCAGTTGAGTGTCTGCCTTCAGCTCAGGTCATGATCCCAGGGTCCTGGGATCAAGCCCTGCGTCTGACTCTGCTCGGCCGGGAGCCTGCTTCTCCCTCTCCCTCTGCCTGCCATTCCCCCTGTTTGTGCGCTCTCTCTCTCTCTGTTAAATAAATAAGATCCTTAAAAAATACATCAAAACTTGTAGAATTTTAAAGCTGGAGTCAACTTGGTGATCACCTCATCCAGTGACTTTATTTTCTAGTGGGAAAAGTTCTGTGGCCTAGGGACTACTATTAGATTATTAAATTTGGAGAATATTCATATTTAGTTTCAATATTTTTTGGGAGGGGAAAGGGAAATGATCTAAGGAGTGTCAGTGATAGGAAATAAAGTGGTTTGTGACTTTTTAAAATTCTGTCTTCTTTTGAGTTAGGAGAAATTTTTTTTAAATCCTAATTTGCAAATAAAGTAGAGGAAGAAGTTGAGAACTTGGGCAGTTTCTTTGAAAGTTAGTAACAGAGCCAAGATGAAAAACACACCCTTGACTATCAAGACAACGTTTATTTATATAATGTCAATCACTGTAACACCTGTTTAGCCTACTGAGCCATGCTGCCCTTATAATGCCCCTGTGAAGCTGCCTGGAGCAGGGTCAGCTAGCAAGCCTGTGAGGGTGAGCAAGTGAAATAACAAGAGGAAATGTCTGAGAAGGTCCCTAAGGGTTAAAAAAAAAAAAAAAAAAAGACAAATGTTGGTGTCTTAATTCTTCCGAACCTAAGTAGTTTGTCTTAGGGTAGTAGAGCCATTCTACTAATGGGAACTCCAGAGTCTGAGCAAATTTCAAACAGATAAAGCTGTCCCTTAGGATTCAGTAACTTAATGGCTTGCAAAAGAGCTAAGGCCTAAATGTTTTGGGCAGTGCCAAGCAGGACTCTACAACTTGCCTAAAGATAATAGAAATGGAAACATTCAAAGTACTTTTAGCCTCCTGGAAGGAAATGTGATCTAAAATAATAGTTTGAAAGTTGTAATTCTATATTTAAAATGTAAAATGCATAAAAAGGCAAATATGTGTTTCCGTGCTAACATAATAAGTGCCATTCTTTGTTACTCTGAAGAAGTCCAATGACTGTCCTGAACTAAAGTTCCTATCAGAATGTGTTTTATTTTAGGTAATTATACAGATGTAAAATTTTGTTCATGGCTTCAGTAACTGAGCTAGCAGTGTCTTTGTTCTATCATTTAACTCCACGATAACTCTCTGAAGTGACACTGTCATTCTCCAGTTTCACATGTGGAAACTAGGGATCAGAGAAGTAAAGTAACTTGTCCAGAATCAGAGACCAGTAAGTGATGGACTTTAACTCACAGTGTTGGGCCCCAAACCCAAGCAGCCACTACAAGTTGCTGCTTCATTTAACTACAAGTCACAAAATGTTACCCCATATGTGTTTGATGGCTTTTCTTTATAAACAGTTTACATAATTTTCTTTTTACGTTTACGGGCAAATTTTAATGGTAGACTTAAGAGTAACCATTAGTAGTAGAAAAATAAAGAAATTCAGGATTTCAACTAAAAGATGATCTAGTGAAGTCCAACCTCTTTAACAGACTTGAAAGCTGAAGCCTAGAAGCTTACTGACACTCAGTACCAATATTGTTGTGATTAGAAGTTTGCAACATTTTAGGGTAAACACAAAATAAAATTCAGCGGTTCTAATGAAAACCATACAACATACCAGATTTTCATTGTATTTGAATACAGTATTTTAAAAATAATTCATTATAAGTTCTTATAAATTTTTGCATCCCAAGTGCTTTGTTAAAGTAGAAAGAAAAGTAGAAGGGCCTGCTACACACATAAAACAGGGACCAAAAATTTTTTTTAACTAAACAAGTAAGCATTGTAGTTTTAAGGTTGAAGTAATGTATAACTTATATGGTAATTTTTAAGTATCTCTAGATGTTCCTCTGCTGGGAACATATTTTATACTGTATCAGCAAGAGTATTAGGTTTCCAGTTACCATGTGGCTTTTGAAGAATTTTTTTTTTTTTAATTCAACTTTGGAGATACAGAGAAACCTAATGAAGATTGAATATTATGAAAAGAAACAAATTACCTAAAATGTTAAGTCTACACTGAAAATTACCAAAAATTGAAATAAGTAGAAAACATTCCCTTATTTGTGAAATGTTTCTTAATAGAAGTCTTGTGATTCATTTAAATTCACAGAAGATAAGTTACTGCAAGTGTTTGTAGGATGCTACTTGAAAATTTCCCATTTGAGAATTCAAGTCTTATTTTCTCCTAAGAAAAATTTGGTTATATCCATTTTATATTTTACTTTAAAAGTTAATCTTATACTTTGATATCTAATTCAATCTCATTTTTCTCTTATGTGTAATTACTGCTAACTTTAAAAAAAAGACACTGCTTAATTCAAAGGGAAATATGTTTAAAAGATGTGAAGCATTTAATCCTTGAATGCTGGAACCACTTTTAAAGTATTGTAAGAACATCTGTGTTACATTACACAGGGAAAAGAATGTATGCATTCCGTGGCCTATGGGGCACTGGGGTGGCTGGTTTAGGAAAACTGAGTATTTTGCATTTCATGTTTTTTTCAACATAAAAAATTTTCTATGACTCTAAAATGAAGAATGGAATTCCAAGGGTAGGGAATGTAGTCAGGCAAACATAAGTCAAGTATAGTTGTTCTCTCACTTGTCACCTACTTCTGAAAAAGAAATCAGCTTCTGTAGCAGGTTTGTCTTTTCATTTTGTTAAGCACTTTTTTCCCCCTTATTTGAGAAGTATTCCATGGAACAAACTTACAGAGAGATCACTACACCAGGAGTTCTTCAGAAGTGCACTGCATGTCTCACTCAGCTACGAGTTACTGTGCAAATAATCTCTTACTAATTAGGAAATACCAAAGTTTGTAAGTGATTTACTCTTAACAAAATTACAGCAGATTCAAATATATTCCAGTGATAACCTCACTCTTGATCACTTGTATCCAGTATGCTTTCTTGAGTGGGAGGGAGAAGGATGGAGTTACAGCTCCATCAGGCTGGGTATCCCTTAGGATGTGTGTGTTGCATGTGAATATCATCTGTCATTGGTGGAAGAAAATAGAGATGGAAGAAAAAAGTTGGAGAATTATGACTACACTGGTGGACATGTTCTCAACTTTTTCATCTTTAATGTGACATGATATTAACATGCCAATACATACCCATATGCAACTCCTAGTGAGCTAGATGAAATTCCACCCCTTTCTCTGCTACTCCAGAAAGCAAGCAAGGGGGAGAATGTTAGGGGAATGCATCTTTAATCAACTAAAAAAAAAAAAGTGTTTTTTGTTTGTTTTTTTTAAGTAATGACTTGAAAGTTTCATACCTTAAGGAACATTAGCATCTAATTACCTGTGACACATTTGACAGCTATGTCATGACTGATAAACTCCATATTCCTTAAATTTTGTGTTTTAGGCTCATCCAGAAACTCACTGTTTTTTGTTTGTTTGTTTTTTATTTCAAAATAAAGGAAGGCCAAATTTAATTGTATGGCAATGTAAATTTCTGGAAACTATTTATAATTAGAATTAACTTTTTACAGAAGTATTTGTAACCAGTTATTTTAACACCATATATTCCTGAAAATTATCATGGGATAGTTTTTTGTTTTTCTTTTAAGGCTCAAACTAAATATATTTGAGGAATTTGAGTTTTGAACTAGTCATTGCCTGATCCAGGAAGAATTCATGACACATCAAACCATAGACATTGTATAAAAGTTAGTCTTTATTCCTTGATCTGAAAATGACTTGTTCTCAAGCTTTTCTAATGTCAAATTATTTGATATGCTCTTTATTTAGCTTTAGAACGTGTATAATAATAGCACTTTTAACTGGTTTTTTTTAGAGGCACTAAACTTACTATATTATAAGGAAATAACTATTAATGTCATTAACATTTAAAAATTTTTTAATGTAAGGGGCTCTGATATATCTTATTAGTAACTTTGAATATTAAGGCTGTTTTTAATTTTTGTTTTGCTTTTTTTATTGTAAGGTATTATGAACTGGATCCTTACAAAAGTCTCCGTGACAATTTGAGGAACAAAGTGATCATTGAGTATCCAACATTACATGTGGTATTAAAAGAATCCAGTCATGACATGGAAGTTCTTCACCAAGGTAAATATAAATTTGTTCCTGTAATGCTTAGAATAACTCTAGTGAACCTGAGCAGTTACACAACTGTGTTTATTTCTTTATATATTTGTTTTTCCACTGTATTTACACACTTAACTGAATTTGCTCTATAGCTAGCTATAGTTAATGTAAAGAACCAAATGAATGAGCTGCAGATTCTGTCGTGTTTGAGAGCACGTAGCTTATAATATCAATTCAAAATGAAAGAGTAAGCTTGGCTATAAAACGACATTCTTTGCCTTATTGGAGTTCTACAGGTTTTGTCTTTTTTAAAGCTAATAGCCTTTAAGTAACAGTCTGTCCAATATCAGATAAATTTACTCTCTAGTTAAAACTTTCTTTAGAGATTCCTAAAATGAGGGATTATAAAACATTTTTAGTATCTTACCTTATAGAAAGGGATAATGTTTAAAAGAATGTCATGTTTAAAATTTGGACTGTGTTTAGAATAAGCTAGTGACAGTGACTTGACCTTTATCTCCTTTTTTTAAACACACTGGTTTTATTTTCCTTGATGTTTGTTTCTTTGGCTATATTCCTTGTCATTTTAGTGATTCTTTAAAAGTAGATACTTGTCCCTCTTTGGTGAGTAGTAGAATTGGAAGTATTAAAACTGGAAATGGTATATGTAAAAGTTTAGTATCTAAAATGACTTATCCATATTTGCAGCTGCTGATTAGAGTAAGCTACTTGTGTTTCTGAATGCAAATTCTAGAGGATGAATAAAATTCAGAAATTACTTTTTAAAAGGGAGAAAGGTGACTCAACTCAAAACCATGAGATACCTCTTTCAGCTAAGAATAAGAGTTACAGGCCAAGTTTCATTTTAACAGTCTCCAGATGGCCAGTGAATCCTTGGATTGGATTGAAATCTATTTTTTAAATAATATTACTCGAAACATGTGGTTTAGGTTTTATTGTTACACCAGCAGTATAGGCTGAAATAGGCAGTAACCTTTGTTTTAAGGTGTTCTCTTACATGTATATAATAGGTTTTTTTCTTAGCAAAAGAGAAATTTTTTTTTCAAAGTGGCCAAAATTTTGTCAGCGTCACAATTTGAATCTAGAATTTTAGGTAGCAAATGTGAAGTTTCTAATAATTGGTTATGGGCCTCTAAATCTTTAGATTAATTATTGACTATATATTTTTCACAATTTGAGAATATCTGATTTTATTTTCTCAAATTATAAGAGTGTTATAAATGACCAATTTCACTTTTTTTTTTTTTAGCTGTGTAATACCTTACTTTTTCCTTAGTATAATTCACATAGCTCTAAATGTTAGTTTCAGGGAAAGTTGTTTAGTAATGTGGGTTACTAGCCAGGGCAAACAAGTCTGTGTAAATAAACAGAGCACACACAGCTCCTCTTTCACCTTGTTTAGGAATGCACACTGAATGAAGGCTTCCTGTAACGAAGCAAAATGAAAAGGCTATTTTTGTAGTGTACTTGGAACCTGATTAAGTAAAATTGGCTATTTTTTGGTGGGTATATGATATTTGACTTATTTACAGGAAGACAAGTGACTCATGCTTTCAGGATAGAGGACCCTTTAGAGCTGCTGTGGCAAAAAACTTAATGAGGGTCTGACAGGATCTTAAGGACCATAACAGTGTTGTCACATCATAAATACACTTTAAAAATAATGCCGGGTGTTTTGTACGTGCATTTCTTTGTGTGAGCACTTCAAGGTATCTGTTTTTTTGTATATTCTCATAGCTTTGAATATTCTGCAGGGTGGTCCCTTAATGCAGGAGGAGGGTTATATAAGAACAGGGCATTTTCTTTGGAAAGCCTTGAAATTCCTTCTCTCTCCAGAGGCAAAAATGTTGGATTTTGATCTTGAGTTCATAGCACAAGGTGTCTCTCTTCTCGTTTGGGAAAAATGTGTTTCTGGGCTGGCATTCAGTAGTTTTCACACTTGATCATTGTTACAATGTTTGCTATGGTTGTAGATTGCCACAGTTTTTCAAAAGTCTGCCGGTATTGATGGGCAATAGGCAAGTTTTGTTTGTTTGCTTTTTGCTTTTTAAGGAATGTAAAAGGTTGACTATAAAAGATTAAGCCATTAAGGTAGCCCACTAGATTGAAAATGTGGATCACCCATCTTGTATCAGTCCAGTGGGAAGTGCTCAGAATGGTGTTACTTGCTTCACAGGTCCCTATTTGCCAAAGGTAGCTGGTAGATTTAGATGATTTAATAAGAGCTGCTGCTTTTCAGTCTTAAGAAAAAAAAAATGGAGTGCAGTAAAAGAAGAAAACAGGACAGTTCAGGAAGCAAAGCAAGAGAAGGGTTTCCCCCACACTGCAGTAGTACACAGCTCCATTAATTTAAAAATATCAGCAAAATGTGTTTCTCTGTTGTTCTAAGATAACTCCAATAGAAAATGCCTCTGCCTTTTGAAAAGGAATCCAACCCAAAACTGATGACTTCAATTAGTGAAAATACATAACATAGGAGCTACTCATTCACCAGTCTCTTGTTGGGCCAATATATCCTTTCATCCATTCTCCCTCCCTCTCTCCTCCCCTCATTCTTCCTTACCCCCCTTTCTCTTCCTCATTTTGACTGTGTGTGACATATTGGGGTGGGGAGATGGGGATGGGTCTCAGGCACAAGAACACACATGTGAACTTTACAGTGCAATAGGTGCTATAATAAAATGTGTATACATTGCAAAGAAAGCCAGAGGAGACCAACTGACTTGTATTATCATGGAGATACCTGAAGGACTGGGCTAGAGTTTCTAAAAGTCCATGAGGATCAGGACTGTATCTTGGATTGAACCTGTTTCAGTCCTTTCCTCATAAAAAAGGATTCAGTAAACATTGTGGTTGCTGGGACAATCTTAAATCTAGGTACCATCGACAAACCCCACGGAACTTGATAGTTGAATATGAGGCAAGATCTAGGTTTATGATTCTAGCATCAGCTCTTACTAAGCTGTGGGCCCTTGAGCATTTACTCTGCCTCTGAGCTTGATTTCCCTCATCTACACAATGGAAATAAAAGGCTATACGGCTGAAGCAAAGTAGTCCGTGTTTTAACCTTAATTTTCATAGTGTTTTAATATATTATTTCCTTTTAGCTTCACTATGCAATGAAATAGAGCTGTTACTCTGGTTGACTTGCATTCATATTGATTCAGCAAACAGGCTACACTGGGAGGTTAGATATAAGGAGGAAAGATCTAGTCTCTCTCCTTAAGGAACTCTCAGTTTAGTAAGTGAATCATAGTCTTGCTTGCTCCAGTCAGGACAGCTCCTTTAAAGGGGCTCCATTTCTGCTGTACGTTATATTTCCTATGAAAGGAAGGAGATGGCGATTAGTCTTCTCTGAGCCCACATTCACTCAACATACACTGACCCTCAATTTTAAGTTTAAAAAAAAAAAAAATTATGGAAAAATATATTCCAACCACACTTGGCCAGCCTATGTGATAATAGTGATCTTTCCATTGGTACGAATATGGGATCATAACCACACTGTGAAGTGACCATTCCCAAGTCTTCCACAGAGTCAGAAAGGATGTTGCCTCACAAACTATAATTGCCACTTTCAGACATCGTTTCTTTATTGTGGCCAGAACTGTATATCCCGGCCGCCTGGAACATGACATGGTTTGTCTGTCCCCATGAGCAGTGCTGTTGGTATGCATCAGAAGGGAGGAGAGAAGAAGGAAAAACAGAACAAGCTAAACAGAAACAGTATAAACACTTGACTGTATGTTTACTTATTTTTTTTCAGTGAAAAGTGAATCTCCCAAGAACGTTGGCAATGAAAATTGAGCACTTCTTCTGGAGGAAGAAGGTGAAAATTCCCAGACAATTGCAGAGGACTGACTATGCATTGACTAGCTGTTGGATGACTGGGATATTGTCAGTGGGCGGTTGAAATTTTTTGCTTCTCTGAGAGTAATTAAACAATCTAAAAGTTTTTTTTAAAAGGTGTATTTTCTAGCCTCTTGGATTGACTTGTAAGGCCCTTATTCCTAGTAATAACCCCTTTTCTGCACCTGACCAGCATAGTGCTTATTTCAGTTAGGCCCAGGGTTTTAATATGCTTAATTCCAAGGTTGAAAACTTTTTTTGTTTAGTTTGATGCAAGACCAAACCCAAGAATCACCTGTGTCAGCCACAAAGCTAGCAGTCTCGTTGGTAGAACCTCACTAAACATAAAGGCTGTGTGACACACCATGTAGCCACAGGAGGACTGACCCATCGTTACCTATTCTTGTCTTTGGGGTTTATTTGTAACTCACCCTCTTGAGATGACTGAGTGGGTCTTTTTTACTTGGGTAGCATCTAGTTCAGTGTCACATGTAAAGGATAAATAAATACTATTAACTATTACTTCTTATATTCAGTTCACAAAATCAATGGCTTCTCGTTGTTTGAACCATCAGTGCTCACAAATTTGGCTCTCCTTGTTTGCAGTGAGCTGTGTCTTATTATGAATTCTGTGCCTTTCATCCCGTTCCCATTCCACTCTCCTCATTACCATACAGGGGTGTTGTGATGAGCAGTTTTATGCTGTTTTGAAACATCCAGCAATAACTAAAGAAAGAAACACTTGGAACTCTTCAAAGTGTTACTGGAATGTATATGTGCATTTATGTATATACATGGCTTAATTTATACCTTATGGCAGCTCTGTATACATTATGATCTCACATATTGAAATTAAAGTTTCCTAGTTTTATTGGAATTTATACAGTTATGAAATTGCAATATGGCTATAAAAGAGTAAAAGATTATTACATCTGTGTTGCATCTGTGTACTTAATGGTTAAGAAAACAATGATAAAATGGGACATTGGTGAATTCATTTTTAGTTTATAATTGGGATAAGTTTTAGACCAAAAAGAAGCCAGAGGCATTAATTAAAGAGGCTTGGGAAAAATAGAAATGAGAAGATGAGCATAGGAGAAACTTGTAGAACACAATTATGTGTAACCTGGAGGTCAAAACTGGAGAAGCGAATCCAAAGACAATAAAGCCACAAAGACCCTTAGTATAAAAGTAATAGTGGAACTGTAATTCATAGAAAATAAGGTATTGCAATTTGAGAAATAGCTACACTTCCTAAAGCAGCTTCAGGAATCTTCCTCATACGTGAAAGGTTTCTGCAGAATTAGGTTTTTCACAGTATTTCTGGGGAGACAACTAAATGGGATTTCAAAGGATTCATATTTAATCTAAAAGTGAAATTTGTTTTCTTGAAACAGCAAGAAATAGGATGAATTGAATCAAATGTGTCACAGAATTGTTAGTGGGAAAAGTGGGATAAAGTACACACCAGGAGCATATGATCTGAATATCAGATGGAGAGCAGTTTCCTGATCGTGAAATCTGTTATGACATAGTCTCATTTCCAAGAAAAGTACTGAGTTCCATGTCTTCTAGAATTTAAATTGAAAACTGGACAACCAAAGGATTTATCCTATACTTTCCCCCCTGCCCTATACTTCGCTCGAAAGGGGGAAAACATCTGCATGATGCAGTGCATCTTTGCCATCCCTATAGTCTAGAATTCTATTAGATTTTTCAATTATAGACTGTTCTTAGGAAAGAATTTAGCATAGTTCCCTTAAATATAACTATCAGCTCATTTGATTAATATACATATTTATTCCCACAGGATTTACAAGAAACATGTTTGAGTGAGGTAACTGTGACAACTGCTTGGAGGGGGTGAAGTGGGAATAATTCACCAAGAGCCCTAGAAGTCCATAGTAGTTAAGACTTAATTTCTTTTTTTTCTTTTTTGAGGCCATCTCCATTTGGATTCTTGATAAACTCGGATGAATAAACAAACTCCCTGACCCATGTTAAGTTCAACATCCTGCATTTTGTTCATGAATCACATTTTAAAAGGAGGAAAGCTTCACCTGGCCTTCTTTATTTTTTAAACAATGATTTCAAAGGCAAGGTAGGCCTTTCATAATTGCTAATTATTATATAGGATTAATAGCCATAAATTACAGTAAACAAAGCTTGCACCTGTTCATATTATAAATAGGAATTAAAAGAGAGTTAGTATAATAGGTATTTAAGATTCCAAAGTGTAGTTGAGCCAATTTGTTTCCCTGTAGCAAGTAGTGTGGTTCAGGTTTCACAGTGTATAGTGAAATGTTAAACACCTAACTAATGCCAACAATTTTCTTATACATTTGGTTTAATTTGGTTGACATACACAGTGTGTTATACCTGATTTCATATTAGTCATTAAATTTTAAGTAAAGATACCAGTCTGCTTTTATTTAATCGTATACTACTGTGTTAAAATTTATTTTCAAGTAGATACTGTATTAACCAATTGTTCTTCAGTTGCAAGTAACAGAAACCCAACTCAGGCTAGCATAAGCATGAATGGCAACTTATTGGCTCATATACAGGGAAGTCCAGGCATGACTTGGTCCAAACACCCTAGGAAGCCATCTTTCCGTCTCTCATACCTAGCTCTGATTTGTGTTTTCCTGGGTTGGTTTTCTCTTTCAGGCCAACTTTCTCTTTGGGGAGGGAGGCAGTGAGGTGAGAATTGTAGATGGCAGCCATTGATAGTGTCAGTTTACATCATCATAAAGCATGGCAGCACGTTATACAAAATTTGGGAAAGAACTTTGATTTTGCCTACATTCAATCACATTCCATCCCTGAGCTGATCCAGAGAGGAGCTACCCCAGAGGAAGGAGAAATTATCAGAAAAAGGAAGAGGGTAGGGAACAGGAGAGGCAAGATGGTTACTGAGAATACAAAACTAACAGATGTTCGTTGTACCCTCTTTGAGTTTGAGTAGCAAGAGTCTTCTGATTTGAAATAACATAAGGAGTAAAATTCAAAACTAACCTGTACACCCGCATTGGCTTTAACTAGAGATTTTAATTCCTACTTGATGCCATTGCTGCTTTGAGTTGCCATTATAGACTTAAAAAAAAAAATACTTTCCATTTGTGTTTGACATTTTGTTGCTGTTGGTTTCATCACATGCACACAGCACCAATCCGTTGCCATCACAGATTTGGAAACTTCCAGTTTCATCAACATTTGAGAAATTTTGATATTGAAATTAGAGTTGTACTAGAGGAAAATACTTTTAAAAATGAACACTACTTAAAGAAAAATAGGCCCTTAAATAAATTTGGGGGGATCTTACTTCACTACAAAGTGTATTCTTTCAACTTTGGTCAGTGAAAGCTATCTAAAGTATGTGTGCGCATGTTCTTTAAAAAGAACTATAATGTAAACATTTCCCATATTGGAGTGTGGCAACTTCGCTCATTTTGAACTTCATAACTGAATGCATCCTTTAGCCTTTGATGAGCTACTACACAAATCTATTGCCGGTTTTCTTTCTTGCTGAATAAAGTACCAAAACCCTTACCCTTTATGACTTGGCCCCAACCTCCTAGTTTTACAGCCTCCTCCCTTGGTGTCTCTCTCTCTGTCTCTCTCCCTTCCCTTCCTCCCTCCCCCCCTTCCTCCCCTTTCTTTTTCCACCCTTTGCCTCAGTCATGAAACAACATAAAGGTTTTATGGACATTCCAGGTTTTCTCGCCCTTCTGTGCCTTTCTTCTGGTGCATTGTCTCTCCATGAACGTATTCTACCTATTCTCTGAGACCTGGCTTGAGCAGTAATAGTTGTGATCCCCGCATATAGAAGTCATAGTTAATGTTCACACTGGATGTGTCTCCTGATTGTCTAATGCTAATGCCATACTGGTTATTAAATGTGTTTAACATCATACTAATAATAAGAGTAATAGCTAACATGTATTAATAGCTTACAAAATACCAACCATTATTCCAAGCACTTTATGTACTTGGATCAACATTTAAGATTTCTCACAACAGTCTAGTGAAGTGGATGTGAGAGTAAAGCCCTATAGTAAGTGGGGTACAAAACAAAAAATGCAGTAACGTGAAATGGGTTTGCATTGTTGCAGGCTGAAAGATAGGACAGGCTGCGTTGGTACAGCTAACTGTCCAGGAATTCTGACCAGCTGACCATAGAGTCCCAAGTCCATTCTGTAGTTTGGCACCACATGGTGGCAGATGTCACTCCGGCTGAAATGTTGATGGGACAAATCTGAGTCAGTCCTGTATCTGACTTGTACTTCTAGGATAACAGCGTGAGTCCAGCAATCTCCTAGGTAGGTGATGCCTGTTTCATCATCCTTATCTGAAATTAACCCACCCCCTGCTTCCCCACTTCCTGAGACAGCCTGCCATTTCTTTCCCCAGCTTCACCTCCCCTCTCATATTCCTCAACTCCACCAAGAGTTAAGAATTTGAGCCCACCTGCCACTTGTGAACAGGGGTTAGGTGGGGAATGGGAATGGTCATGTTGGCAGCATCACTGACAGGATTTACCTTAAATCCATTTTACAGATGAAAAACCCAAGCATAGAGGTTAAAGCTTATTCTTAGGCCAAATTGCTAAATGGTAAATGATGGAGCTTGAATATTTTCCTTCTCTTGATTCCTCTCTGTACCTGGCATTATCTTTCTTCCTGTCTATATAATTATTGGTGAAATTCTTCAAGTCTTAAAGGGCCAAATCTATGGTTGATACTTGCATGAGAACGGAAGCACAATTACTGGCATGACGTAAGCCCTCAGGGAAGATTGGGCGTTGAGATGAGGTGGGAGGAGTAGGAAACCTCTTTAGATCAAAAGATTTTATAAAAAGTTTTAATTTTTATAGATTGATCTCCTTCAATCTATGGCAAAACCCCTGACTGATAGGATAATATTAATAGCTAAAAACCCAGAACTTAGCATGATCTAGGCACCATTGTAAACATAACTATCAGTCACTGAATCCTCACAATCCTGTGAGGTAGGTACTGCTGGGTTTCTTTGACCCTAAAATGTCATTAATGATACGATGTGTATTTTATGTAACACTAAGAAAGAAAAGATGGCTGCCAGTTACATTAATGACATGCTTTTTAAAAACTCAATTTAGACTGTTTATACTTAGAGAGCTCTTTTAGTCATTTTATTTCAACAAATCTAACACTCCATCAGGTGCCTGGGTGGCTCAGTTGGTTAAGCGACTGCCTTCGGCTGAGGTCATGATTCTGGAGTCCTGGGATCAAGTCCCACATCAGGCTCCCTGCTCAGCGGGGGGTCTGCTTCTCCCTCTGACCCTCTTCCCTCTCAAGCTCTCTGTCTCTCATTCTCTCTCTCTCAAATAAATAAAATCTTAAAAAAAAAAAAATCGAACACTCCATCGATTTATAAGACACACTATTTTGTATACCTACAAGAACGAAAAACAGAATTGTGTGACACATCCTGACTCGAGATGGTAAAATATGAAATAATAATGCAGAATTGATGTAATAGGGTATTGAGACAAGTTTTTGTATCACTCTGTGCTAATATAAAAAGAAAAACCTAAGTGAAACTACGGGTAAGGCATTCTGAGAGCTTCCCAGCAATCAGGACAGTGATTTGTGGACCCAAATACTGAAAGGCTGCAGTTATCCACTCGTGCCACCAGAAACAGCCACCAAGTCCACCTATGCACAAGCAGTGAGAACTACATCGTGACTGTGGCCTGGCCAAAAGCTATTTCACAACTAAAGATTTCAGAGATGTTAAAATGTGGGCTCAAGAGTCCCTTGAGTACAGTACCATCATCCCCCTTTTGTAGGATATGGGCAGAGAAGCTGAGCCACAGGTCAGTCACATGGAGAGTAAAGAGGTGAGCCCGGATTCAAACCAAGGCCAGTTGGACTTCAGAGGTCATGTTCTTAACCTTTAGGCTACATAACCTCCTGAGTGAGCTTGGTCTGGTCATTTTTTGGAAAAGGCCAGTTTCTTCGTACTTTGTAAAACTGCTTTGCTTGGAGCTTTTTCTCTTCGATGATGGACAGCAGGCTGAGTTTCTCCTAGTATGTTTTATTCCTCTCTGTGTATTTCATCCATGGTACTCACATATTTCACTGGTTTGAGCATAAAAACTTCAGTCACTTCAGTTGGTTTGAAAGCAGCTGTTAATGCTTATGCCAGTTTCCTTCAGTGGATTCGGGGGTATTAGGCTCAAGTCTGTTTTGCTGGCCATTATGAATTGTGTACTGTCAATCTGAGCACCGCTCAAAGCAGTTGCAGCAGACCTCAGGACACATGGCTCTCCAGGACTCCTTGGGATAGGGCCCACGGGGAAAGGACATAAGGATGCAAAGACAACTGTTAATGATTGTCATGTTGCAGGAGGGACATGTGCTGGGCATGCTGGTGACTCCAGCTGAGAGCGATTGAGCCTTGCCTCAATCTGAGGGAACTATAAAACAGGACAGGACAGGCTTGGGGGAGGTGGTCAGGCTGGGGGGTAGTTAGGACAGCCCATGGGAGGAAGTATCATTTCAGGACCTGTTGGGAATCAGGAATGGCTTCGGGAGTGGAAATGGGATGGTGGGAGGAAACCCATGAAAAGACCAGAGCAGACAAATGAAAGGCCTTGTAAACAGGGAAATGTGAGTTTTCATTCTTAATTCCATAGAACTCAAGCCACTTCTCATGCTTTAAACTATATAACCAAGGAGAGAAGTACATTAAACCACTTGATTTTTAAAGGGGGAATTTTCTATCTCCCTAGGGTACGTCATGCAGGGACTCTGGAATGGTGGTTTTGCTCTTAACTTCAGAAAGACCTCCCTTCTCCCAGGTTTCTGCTAAGCACTCAAAGTTATTTCTACTTTGAGAAGAGACCGTCACACACCACCTCTTGGTGTCATGATTTCTTTTGGCTCCTTGAACAGTTGATTCTAGTTTAAGTCCATGTGGTATAAGTCTGTGGTGCAAAGACAGTCCCAAATGCCCAGTAACTTCTTCGTTTTCCTAGAAAACTAGAAGCCCTGTGGTCCTACTCTTGACCATTGTTCTGTGTTCCTAAAGAAAAACAGTAGGGTCTAACCTCTGTGTTTTGAAGTTTCGGTGGCTGGTTAACCAGGTGCTGGGATGCTGTGCTTTTGGGCCCCCGCCAACACAGAAGAGACAGCAGTTTGTTCCATGTACCTGACAGATTGGAAGGTGTTTGTTCACACCCTCTGCTTCAGATCTCTCCCTGGAGAGGTTGGTCAGTTGTTCGGCCAACATCTTTGGCCTCTGTCGCTAGTGCATCTTAGAAGCCTGTAAATAGTTTCTGCCACAGTTGGACCCTCACAAACAGAACTCCTAAGCATTAGAAATGGAAAACTTGAGGTGCTGAGGAGAGCCAAGTGGGAGCGGGCATCCGGTCTCCGTGGGAATGAATTCATGGGACTCTGTAAGAAGGAAGCCACTGTTTGTGGCTGACCTGTGTGTGGACAGTCAAAGGCAGAACACGATCCAGAGGTTCTTTTCTCACTTTTCTAAGTGGCAAGGGGAGCAGTTGTGAGATGTGGCTTGGTTTTCTTTCTAAGCAATCAGATTCTCTTTTTCCCACCAAACTTGGGCACCCCTTAGCAGTGAGAGGGCAAGCAAGTTATGTCTCAGCTTATATCACACATCAAAAAGTACTTGATTTGAAATTCTGTAATGTAGCCCGCCCAGAAGTACTTCATTATCATCTGTAATCTCCTACAGTCCCATTTTGTCATTCTCCAAAGAGTAGTAAGGAATCTAGAAAGCTGAGGCCAAATGATGGTACAAGTATGGATTATATTAAAAGGTATAGTAAAAGTCTGTTGTTTGCTCCCTGACAGGCATCCCCCTTCTTTCTGGTAATCATGCCTTGAGTTCCTCTGGGAAACTACCAGCTCCCCTTTGTTCTCAGCCATCTGGTTTGGATGGGATTAAGCCCAACCCTAGCTCCTGGGTGGGTTTTCATCAGCCTAAACAGATCAGAGTATCCCACTCCTGTGACCACATGTTTGGTTCCAACAGTGCAAGTGGCCTAAGCTGGTGCAGTCTGAGGGAACTATAAAACCCGCAGGGCATGGACTCTCCCCTGCTGTAAAAATGTAAGGCTGAAAGTGGGTTAGCCTGTTTTGCTACTGTAGGGAGAGCCAGCCTGAAGCCAAGCCATCTATCCCCGTGGAGTGTTCAGTTGCACTAGCCAATACATTCCTTTTCTTTTTCCTTATTCAAGTATTTGTATGTGGATTTTCTGTCAACTATATCAGAATTTGAAACCAGAAAATGAAGTGTGGCAAGTTATAGGCCCTTGATTATGGAATTAGCTGAATCAAGATCGTGAGGAGAGCCTCTGTCCTAGACTGGAGTGTTGGTAGGGACAACATTTGTCCATAAAGGAAAAATAATCTTAACTTTCCCTTTAAGGACATTTTATGGCAGTTGCATACAGCACTTCTGTGACATCCCATTTATAGAACTTGGTCATGTGGCCACACCTACTTACAAGGAAACCAAAGAAAGTCTTGACGCTGGATGGCAATGTGATTGACTAAAAGTTGTGGACCTCCTCTGAGAGGAGAATTAAATGGGTGTTGGAGGACAAGGACTATAGTTGACCATTAGCAATTCTTGCTTTGTGGTACTGGAATAGTTGGTTTTTCCATTGTCTAATGTATATTGAGACCTTCAGTTCATATGTCTCCCTGGGGTGCCAAATTAAGGGGGACAAAAAGTTCAGGCTGTAGGATGGATTGATTATAAGTTGAAGCCTTTGTAAATCTTTTTTTTTTTTTTTTAAAGATTTTATTTATTTGACAGAGAGACACAGCGAGAGAGGGAACACAAGCAGGGGGAGTGAGAGAGGGAGAAGCAGGCTTCCCGCCGAGCAGGGAGCCCGATGCGGTGCTCGATCCCAGGACCCTGGGATCATGACCTGAGCCGAAGGCAGACGCTTAACGACTGAGCCACCCAGGCGCCCCAAAGCCTTTGTAAATCTTATAAGAAAGAGAGATTTACCTTGAAACTAATGCCTCTAAAAAACAAGAAAGCATAAAATAGAGCCTTGCTATAAGAAATGCTTTCTGCTTGTGATGGGTAGTCCCAAGTAGACTGAGGCAGTAGTTTGGGATCCTCGACTGAATGGAAAAGCCAGATTCCTTCCTACAGTTAAGTTAGAGCAAAATAAGGGAGAAGGGAAAGATTAGGACCTAGAATAAGTGTGATCTCCGAAGCCTCTTCTAGAATCCTCTTGTTATACCCTTCCAACCTGTCCAAAGGGACATCCAGGACTTTTGAAAAGATGCAGCTGGTGTGCAGCCCTCTGGCAAAGGGGCTGTTCCTCCCCTCTCTAGGTCATTGCTTTGTATTGCCCCCAGACAGAGGCCAATATGGAAGCAGAAGCCCTTAATTATAACCATCCCAAACCTGTACTCTAAATGAAAAGCTATTATAATCAACTAGATCTCTACTTTTATTACTAACCCACGGAATTGACCAGTGTATTAATCAGGGTTCTCTAAACAGAACCAAAAGGGTGTGTATACAGAAAGAGAAATTTAATATTTTTTTCTTGTCTTTTTAAAAATTCTTTAATTTTTATTTAAATTCAGTTAGCCAACTTATGGTACATCATTAATTTCAGGTGTAGTGTTCAGTAATTTATCAGTTGCATATAGCACCCAGTGCCCACATCACGTGCCCTCCTTCATGCCCATCATCCAATTACCCCATCATCCTACCCACTTCCCCTCCAGCAATCCTCAGTTTGTTTCCATAGTTAAGAGTCTCTCATGGGTTTTCTCCCTCTCTGATGACTTCCCATTCTGTTTTCCCTCCCTGCCCTACAGTCCTCTCACCTGTTTCTTATGTTCCACATATGAGTGAAACCATATGATAATTGTCTTTCTCTGATTGACTTATTTCACTCAGCATAATACCTTCCAGTTTGAAATAGATTTATTATACGCAATTGGCTCATGTGATTTTGGAGTCTGACAATTCTAGATCTGCAAGGTGAGACAGCAAGCTAGAAACCCAGGAGAGCTAATGTTTCAGTTCAAGTCTGAAGGAATGTCCTAGTTCAAAGGTGGTCAGGAAGAGGAATTCTTACTCTGGGAAGGGTCAGCCTTTTTGTTCTTTTCAGACCTTCATTTGATTGGCTGAGACCCACCTACATTTGGGAGAGCAATCTGCTTTCCTCAGTCTTCTAATTTAAATGTTAATCTCATCCAAAATATCCTAACAGAAACATCTAGAATAATGTTTGCCCAAATATCTGGGCACTACCTGGCCCAGTCAAGTTGACACATAAAGTTAAACATCACAACCAAAAACACACAGATGGGAGCCAACTAAAGTCATGAGGGGGGCGCCTGGGTGGCTCAGTCAGTTAAGGGTCTGCCTTCAGCTCGGGTCATGATCCCAGGGGCCTGGGATCCAGTCCCACGTCCGGCTCCCTGCTCCACAGGGAGTCTGCTGCTCCCTCTCCTCCCTCACTCGTTTTCTCTCTCTTGCTCACTCTCTCTCAAATAAAATCCTTAAAAAAAAAAAAAAGTCACAAGGGATTTATATCACAGAGAAATCTCCCAGTGACCAAAATGATTGCCCAACCCCTAAATCAGTCCTCAGAGCCCCATCCCCCACCACTCATACACTCTAGTGTTACCCCAACCAGCAGTGGCTGCTAAAGCTGTATGGTCCTCTAAAGAGGTTGGACAAGGGAGATCCTCTTGGAGAGTGAAATTGAGGCAACCCCAGACCTTCACCTCACTGCAAGATAGGGAGTCTTTGCCATTTCTGCCCAAAAAGATTGTAATATGTGTGAGGACTGATGGCCACCGGATGTTTCACATTCTCCCCTCTGCAATTTGGAATTTTTATTGCAGTTCTGTTTTCTCTTTCCTATTATATATACGGTGTGGTTAAACTTAACTATTTACCCACAGATCACTGAACCATGAAGAGTTATTTGACATGATTTGCACATTGACTTAAATATTGGACTTGGATCTAGCTTTAATAACTGGATGAGCTTTTATATTATCTCCCTTTGGGAAGGGAGTGTGACCTGTGTTTGGAAGCTGTGGGATGATGTTAGGTGGCCAGAGCTTGGACTATCCAACATTGCTTAGTCCTTCTATCTAATACTCCACATATCCTTTGAGAGCTACTTCTCCTTCTCATCTGTGTGGTTTGGCTGAGATTGATACCCCTCTCCCCATTCCACCCTCTCAGCCAAAGTAATTGGTTCAGGAATGGGCATGTCAATCCCATTTTCACTAAGAATGCTAAAACTCCATCTCTCTTCCTCATTGGGCTAACTTACATGGGAATGTGTACCCATATATGGTGCCATAGGGGGAGCCAGCCTGAGAATCAAACTGGAAATGGAGTTGAGAGATGATCCTAGTAACATTTTCCTGTCATTCTGCAGTCCCTCTGGCATGCTTTCTTTACTCTCATTCGCAACTGCAGCAGTAACAATTTCACAAGTGATGATAGAGAGAATGTGAGGAAGTTTAAATGAGCACCTCCTGTTAGTGGTCTTGTCATCTTTTCTAAACAGCTCTCCTCTGTGGTCACCTCCAACATGTCAAGTCTGCAGAACCATAGAATCTTGGCATCAGACACCCAAAAGGATCATAGAGATCAGCTAGTCCAGGGCCTCCCAAGGTGCCTCAGGAGGTAAGCAAGGTGATTTTTAGGTGATTCATGAATATTTTTTATTTTCATGAATATAATTATTGTGATGAATCCTAGTAAAATATAATTAGCACTTTCACATCAAACTTGTGATTTCACAGGTTTTATGTAATGCTTTTACTGAAGGGGAAATTGAAGCTTTGAGAGATTAATAGCTTTTTTAGGGATTGCCCAGATGGTGAATGAAGGGTGAGAGATACTAAGTGTGGAATCTGATAACTGGGAGGGATTCTGAAGATCATGGAGTCACTTCCGCACCCTCACCCACCTCCAATGTCAGAATTCCCCCAACAGCATCTCTCACAAATGGTCATTCAGCCTCAGCTTGAATACCCCCACAGATGGGAAGCTTATCACCATTCGAGGCAGCACATTCCATTTTAGCAGTTCTGAGAGTTAGAAAATTCTCCCTTACACTGCACCAAAATCAGCCCTTTGCAATTTCTTTCCATTTGGTTCCAGTTCTTCCCTCTGAATCCACACCCCACCTTCAAATGTTCAAGTCAGTTACTCTGCCCCCCTCCACTTCTTCCTCAACACAACACATACACGTGCACACACACGTACATACACTTGCATGCACACTCATGGAATGTGGTTTTGAATCACTCTGTCATTTTCTCATCATTCTTGTTTGATTTAACACTCAAATGTCTTTGTTGTTACTAAACCTGTGTGTCTAGAACATGAATTACTATATATGCAGTGAAGACTAAACCAGAGTAATCCCACCCTTTGTCCTGGACCTCATGTTTCTCTTCAGGCAGCCTGAATAGAATAATGTGGCTTTTTCTTACTCCTTTTCATTCCAGTCTGTTGAGATTTTTTTTTTTTAATCTTGATTCTATCAGCAATTTTATTAAATCTGGGAATACTAGGGTGCCTGCGTGGCTCAGTCCGTTGAGCATCTGCCTTCGGCTCAGGTCATGATCCCAGGGTCCTAGGACTGAGCCCCACGTTGGGTTCCCTGCTCAGTGGGGAGTCTGCTTCTTTTTTTTTTTTTTAAAGATTTTATTTATTTATTTGAGAGAGAATGAGATAGAGAGAGAGAGAGCATGAGAGGGGGGAGGGTCAGAGGGAGAAGCAGACTCCCTGCCGAGCAGGGAGCCCAATGCGGGACTCGATCCCGGGACTCCAGGATCATGACCTGAGCCGAAGGCAGTTGCTTAACCAACTGAGCCACCCAGGCACCCAAGGGGGAGTCTGCTTCTTCCTCTCTCTCTGCCCCTCACCCTTGCTCATGCTCTTTCTCACTCTCACTACCTCTCTCTCTCTCTCGCTCACTCTCAAATAAATAAAATATTTTAAATAAATCTGGGAATACTAGAGCATGAGGGCTTCCCTTGAAACTTAACAAAAGTAGTTTCAGGAGACATAAAAATATAGTGAATGAATAAAATGATAAAGTTATAGAACCTAGTATCCAAGAGATTTCTGTAGACTGAAAACATTAATGGGTTTAACATAGATTAATGAGCAATAAAAAGGTATTTAGATTATTCAACTTTTTTAATACAGTGTCCTAGCCTTGCCTACCTAATGTCCTTGCTGTTCAATATCGGAGGCAGAACATTGGGTTATACTAGTCAAAGGTCTCACCATGGAATTTCTTACTAGTTTCTCCCTGCTACAGAAATAAAACTATCTTTGCCCCTGGAGCCAATCTAGTATACTGATTAAAGGAACTGGTTTGGGTGTTAAATAGAACTGAGTTCAAACTATGACTCTATGATTTACTAGTTGTATAGCCTCTCACAAGCTATACAGCCTCTTTGAGCCTCAGTTAACCAAGGAAACAATATAGTACCCATTTCAGGCTTATAAGAATTATACAAGATATATACGTAGCATCTGGCACATGATAAAGCATTCAGTATACCATGGCTATGATTGTTTCTAAATCTGTTGATACACAAAATAGTAAGAAAAATTGAAAATAAAAATTAGCCCATGAAGAATGGAGCTGTCCATCATGACCTTGTATACTTTGCTTTGGTTAGTTTCTGTCCTAAAGTACATCAATCAGGATACTCTGTTAATTTGGTGAAGAAAATTCCTAACCCTCTTTGGGCTTCCATGTTGGAAGGAGTGGAGCTTTGAGAGGTTCAAGGAGCAGCTTTGATGAAGGAGCCAGCAGAAACCAGCTAGAGGTGTTTCCTTCACCAGTGGGCTAAACACAGTGCGATCTGGAAGGCCCAGGGGTATCTCCTGCATGAGGAGGCCCCCCACCCTGAGGGCCACCTCTAGAGGCATCAAAGTCCTTCTAGACTGCCATCCTAAGTGACTTTGAGGGACTAAAGGACTTAGGAGTGCAGAGACAGAAAAGAAGCAATAGATGGGTTGTTTCTCTCCCAGTTTTTTTTTTTCAACCTGGGATTTGCCATTCTACCTGAACGCAGTTTTGAATCTAAGAACTTACTGGATGCATGTGTCTGGACAGGCACAGGCTTCTAAGGATTGTGCTTTCAAACACTGGCAGGGCTTACCAGAGTTGGGCGAGGGTAGCCTCATCTGATCTGAGGATTATTGTCAGGCAGGAGGGTTTTAAAATTTTAAATCCTGGTTTTTTAACACGCAGGAAAACACCTGGCTTCCTACCCTGTGAAATAGATGGCTTCAGTTGGCTTCCTTAGTTTTTGGGGGGTTTTTTTAAGAGTTTTTATATGTAGTGGGGGTTTTTTTGGTTTTTTTTTGTTTTTTTCTTCAACAAAAGAGCAGTCAGTGCCTAGCTATCCCTCTACTGGCCCCACTGTTAAGACTTGCAGAGGTTCCCAGATTTATACCTTCTGGTGACCCCATGATTTACACCAACTCCCCCACTCGCTGCCATTCCTTTAGCATTCAGTGCTGCCTTCTTGAGACAGGAGTACTGACAGACTCTTGGAGTCTTACAGCATTTAGTCATTTATCTTCTAGATATTCAAAGCCAGGGGGTGTGAGTGTGTGCACGTGTGCGTGGGCGCACAGGGGCGCATTTTGCCCTTTGCCACATTGGTTGTTGTGTTTCTTTTCCATTTGCACAAGGTCACATTCAGAGTTCTTCCTCCCCGAGGAGAGGTTGCACATTTCGTCACTTAATCTTCCTCTCATTTCCTTCTCTTAGGATCACATAGCCCTTCCTGAGGTATTACCGTTTTTCCATTTCTTCTTTACTCCCTCCTTTCTTTTAATAACTCTGGAAGACAGGGAGGCACCTTGTAAAGTTAATTTCCTCTGAAGCGTTCAAAGAGAAGGCATCTCTCAGCCCAGACACCACAACCCCTCTCCACCCCTCAGCTGCGACGCACTCCCCTCCTCAAAGCCTTAGTCACCCTGGGCTGTGCCCGCCGCCCAGGACTCTCCATGCCCAGGCTTGGTCTTAGGGGCACAGTGAATTGCTCTGTCTAGTGACTCTTTGGTCTGGGTGTGGGGACCCTAGTCGGGAAGAGTCTCCCCATTTATTTGCTCTGTTCCCTCCTCCCCTTTTTCACTTCCTCACTGCACTCCCCCTTCTCCTTCACTGCTTTCTGCTCCTCTCTGGTACTTTCAGGACTCAGGGGCTGGCTGCCTGCCTGTCCCGGGGATGGCATTTCCTCTTCAAAGGTCTGTGGCCTCCGCCACCCAGCTCTACCAGGCACACAAGCCTTTGGAATCGCTGTGGCTTTGCCACCCGCTTGCCTACTTGGAAGGCAAGGGCAGTTTTTTAAATGCCCCTTTGGTTTCTTGGGGTGCAACTTTCCTCAATCCTGTTTTATTTATGTGAACATGATCTGTGGCTTTTGAATGTTTGCTTTTGAATGTTTGTGTTAATGGACTAAACTGAAAGCGTTTCCTCTTACCGGAGAGAGGGCCGGCACACAGCTGGGGGCCAGGCCGTTCAACTCAGGCAAAACTGTCCCAAGAGGAACAAGTTACCAGCCAAGGAAGTCTGGAGGCTCTAAGAGGAATTCACTGAGGCCTTCATGGGCAGCCGCAGTCAGAGCCGGGATCATGGACTAGGCCACGAGGCTCAAGCAATTCCTTGGATTAACAGGGAGGGCTAAACTGAAGACACCTATATTTTTGCAAAAAAAAATTTTTTTTTTAAGATTTTATTTATTTATTTGACAGAGAGAGACACAGCAAGAGAGGGAACACAAGCAGGGGGAGTGGGAGAGGAGGAAGCAGGCTTTCTGCTGAGCAGGGAACCCGATGCGGGGCTCGATCCCAGGACCCGGGCCAAAGACAGATGCCCAACAACTGAGCCACCCAGGCGCCTTGCAAAAAAGTTTTTTAAATTGTGCATGTATTTACCAAAACTCTGTGTGGTTTTCAACAGCTTAGGTGTCTGATCTTTCACCCTATTCCCAGCCTTCTGGGTATCTCCTGGCAATATTAAGAACTCCAGCTTGATCCCTGAATCATCTAGGTAAGCTGTCATCTGAAAATGTAGCACAGTCCTAGCTCAGCCTACTAATGTGCTTCCTGTGTATTTCTTTTCTCTTCTTCTCTTTTTTTTGATACCTCAGACAGAAACAGACCCAAAGGATCCAGCAAATGCACAGTTTTTCCATATCCAGTGACGGGCTAACCTAGCACTGAAGTGAGGGAGAGAGGCAGGAGAGGGGCAGCTGGGACCACACTGTGTGGAGGAAATGCCATCCTCAAATCTGCCATGAGGACACAAGAACAGAGTAGAAGGCAGGGCCTTAGTCAGGGCTGGGCTCTCCTCAAGGGTTGACCCCACCATCCCACCACCACCAATCCATAGCCTGTATAGCCCGGGGTCCAGTGGCTTGAACCAGAGGTGGGGGACCTACCTGGACAATTTGTGTGAGAATATGGGCATGATGAGGAACACCTCTTTCTGCAAACAAGATGGAACAGAACAGAAGTAGTTGGGAATCTTTCTCCAAGCTGAAGCAAATGGTGGATCCACCAGGACTGTTGCCTAAGTCATTAATCTCCTCAGATGAAGGAGCTGGCTATTGTTACAGCCTATAGAATAAACTGCGATGGAGAAGACTTGATGTGGACTTGCACAGGATACAGAGTTATAATTCTTGAGGCAGAATACTCCAGGGTTTCTTATTTAAACTATGAGTCCAATGTTGGTGACCCTCTGTGTTCAATTTACACCTTCTCCTTGGGCAGAGTCTTCTAACTCCTTGGTTTCATGTCCCTTGATAACTCCATATTCTGAATATCCCTACTGAACTTGAGACCAGACACCTAACTTGACATGCAAATCACACATGTACTCAGTGTGACCCACAGCTAATTTATCCTTTTCTCCACCTGCCTCTAACCAGCTCCTCCTGGGCTACCCATTGTCATCACCAGTCATCCAGTTGCTCATACCAGAAATACCAGAGTTATATTTGTCTCTTTCCTATAACACTTTAATCACCTAATCCTGTTCATTCTACCTCCTAAATATCTCTTTATTCTGTGCATATCTCTGTATTCTTTGGCCAACCAAACTAGTCCAGGCTACCATCTTTTCTAGCTACCTCATTGATCCTCTGTCTGGTCTCTTGGCTTCTGTTCTTAACACTTGGAGTCCACTCTGTCTGTCCGTTTAGAATGATGTTACCTAAGTATAATCTGATCATGTTTCTTGCCTGCCCAAAACCTTTGAGTAACTTTCTGTTGCTTTTCAGGTAAAATCCAAAGTCCAAGTTCCAACCTTGCTTACTCTTTCCAGCCTCATCTATTACCAGGACAGAGACCGTGTCTTTCCATTTCATTGCTGTCCCCTCAGAACCTAAAACAATGTCTAGCAGAAGGTTGCTCTCTATAAATAGTGGTTGCATGGATGACTAAGTGAATAAACAATTTCTGTGCATTTAAGGATAACCAAGGAGAAGGGAGAATGAGTGAAGACCAATATTAAAACCTCTCAGGGGAGGCCTGGGTGGCTTGGTTAAGCATCTACCTTCGGCTCAGATCATGATCCCAGGGCCCTGGGATCCAGCCCTGCATCGAGTTCCCTGCAGGGAGCCTGCTTCTTCATCTGCCTGCCACTACCCCTGCTTGTGCTCTTTCTTTCTCTGACAAATAAATAAGTAAATAAAATCTTAAAAAAAAGAAACAAAAAAACCTCTCAGGATTATTGTTCTTAGTCTAAGACTTAAATATTTTAATCCCAGGGCTGGAAAAGTGGAATGTTCTTGAACAAGCATTGCACAAAATGTAATGAATAGGATGGTCTGCATTTTTCTGCCGCACAAGCTCCCCTTTTGGATGTGAGGAGCATGCGGTCAGATTATCTGTATGACTGTGGGGACTGGGCAGGTTTACAAGGTGAAGAGAAGAAATGGCAATTGTAAAGTTGAGTGTAAGGGATAGTTTTGTTTGTTTGTTTTTTAGCTAAGGAGCATCCATTTCACTTCCTAAGGGTACTTCATTTCCTTTTGAAGAAGGATCTCTTTCCTGTTGGATTCAGTCTGTTGTCTGTTGGGACTGTAATTAAGAGCCTGCCCTCCCTTGAGGCCCAGGTTAAGCCAATAAAATGTTTTCTTCCTAGAATTAGACTCTTGGGGGCGCCTGGGTGGCTCAGTCAGTTAAGCAGCTGACTCTTGATTTTGGCTCAGGTTGTGATCTTGGGGTCATAAGATCAAGCCCCACATCAGGCTCCATGCTGAGCGTGGAGCCCTGCTTGAGATTCTCTCTCCCTCTGCCCCTTCCCCTGCTTGCACGCTCTCTCAAAAGAGAAGGAAGGAAGGAAGGAAGGAAGGGAGGGAAAGAAAGAAAGAAGGAAAAAGGAAAGAAAGAAAGAAAAAAAACGAAAGAAAAAACGAAAAAGAAAGAAGGAAAAGAAAGAAAAGAACGAAAGAAGAAAGAAAAAAGAGAATTAGGCTTGAGCACAGAGATCTAGAAACTTAAAACATTTGCTGTTTGGAGGTGACCTTCCAGCCATACCATGCCTGCTGTGAGACCACCATGGTGTTCCTGGGACCCATTCATCCGTTTATTAACTCAGTAGTGGGATCCCAATAGTTGTCTAATATGTTTCTTTTTCCATAATTTGATCAGAGTTGTTTCTGTTACATATAACTGTTGGTGTGATAATGGTGGTACAGGAGAACATTATCAGAATACAGTTCTGACATCTTTCAGTACTTTGGACCAAAGCCATTAAATGAATCCAAGAATAAACACCAGGTACAATTTGACCTTAGAAGTTCAGTTATGACTGACTTTCCTGACATGGAAATGTGTAACATTCACATGTGGATCTTCATAGGGATCAGTAGCTCAAAATATCACTGTTTTGATGGTCATCTGTATCAAAAAGAAACCAAAACCACACCTTCAACTTTGTCTTTCATTGTAGCCATTGTAAAAAGAAGGACTAAAAATGATGATCAACCTTACTACTGGCCAAAGACAAATTAAAATAAGTACTGTGTTCTTGTCAATCAGTTCTGCCAAAATTTAAAAAACTGGCACTCTCCATTGTGGATGAGAATGTGAACAAAGGGTACTCTTTCATAGTTGGTAGAAGTGCAAATTGGTCAATCTTCCTGGAAGGCAATTTGGCAGTGCCTATCAAAATTTAACACATGCACACCCTTGATCCAGCAGTTCTCCTTAGAAAGAAAAACAGCAAAAAGATACAAGTATAAGAATGTTCATTGTGACATTAACTTGTACTATCCAAATATTAGAAACAGTGTAAATGCTCCTTAATAGACTGAATATAGTATGGTATAGTTTTACTGATTCATGATTCATTCAGGAGCCATTATAAAAAATGTGGTTGATATGTATGTAATAGAAGTAGAATCCACAATATTTTAATGAGTGCAAACAATAAGTTACAGAATAATGTGAATAAAAAATTCTTTAAAAAAACACAAAGCTATACATAAACTTTATGAGTATATGTATACATATGTAAATATGTCTGAATGTGCATAGAAAAGATCCAGAAGTATCCATACTGAACAGATATTGCTGGTTACTCTTGATGAATGGGGAGAAGCAATGGAATGCAAGGTAAAGAAGGGGAAGTTTGATTTTTTATTTTATGTCTTTGATATTACTTGAATTTTTATTGCCTTTGTGTTACCTTTATAATTTAAAAAAGTTGAATAACTTTGGTAATTTAAGAAAGAACAAAAAATGAATAAAAACTATTAAAATGTAAAGAAATAATCAGAAACCAGGCCAAGTAACCTTTCCAGAGGCTTTGACCCACTTGTCTAGACAAGACTGTGGTCTATCCTAGTAGGTGAAAGCTGAGGGACCAGCTATACCCAGGACACAGCCAAGTTTCTGTAAGAGAACCACCCAGGCAGGCCAGAGGAGCTCCTCCTGGAAGCTTTACCCTGGACTGGGTGGAAATCACCCCCTACAGGAATTAGAATTGCGCATTTGATTGTTTTTATTGGCTCTGCCCTTCTTACTTTGAATACCTCCTTCTTTTGTTCATGAATGTTTAATTTGTCATCTTGTTTATGGCTGAAGCAAGATTCCTGTCTATCTAATGAACTTAATGATTCTGACGTGAGTGTCTAACAGACAGTAATTAGAACCTCTTTGGCTCACTGGGATGGCATAATACCACCAGGTGCCTGCTTTTCATGCTGCCTTGTTTGGGCAGAAAGTTTATTTATTTGTATTCTACTTTATTCCAAAATACATTGTAGGTCAAATACACTGTTTTTGTTTTGTTTTTAAATCAGAAAATGGTGAATGAGAGAAAAATAAGGATATAAAAACAAGATTAAGCCAACAATGAAGTTGCCACACAGGCTACATGCTTACCTTAAGTTTTACTTAATTTGGTTCTGAGTTTCCTAGTGGCCAAGGTCAAGTGGACATGATCAGGTACAGAACTAAAGTGATAGTCTTGGTTTTCCTGAGCAATAAAAAAAAGACAGATTTCTCAGTAAGGATGGATATATACATATGTGGGGGGCAGTGCTGAGAAGGAAAGTATTCTACTATAGTCTCATGGACTTGAGAGTGAATCCTGACTAGTGTCAGTCAACTGATGGTCCTTTTCCAAGGCTGCAGTAATTTCCTTCTTTCAAATGAACCTTGAGTCACTTTGACCCCTTGAATTGCTGTCCCTCCTCTCCAGAGGAATGCTCGTCCCTTCTCTCAAAACCATAAGCCTGGGGAAGAATGCTACTTTGTTCAAGTTATTCTTGATTATTTTGGAACTTCCTAAAGCTCCTGTCATGTGGTTCCAAGTTTAACCATAGCCACTTTGGACATGGTTTTGTTTCCACAGTGATGTGTGTCAGCAACCACAGAGTGAGCTTCTTGTATTTTTATATCAATATGATACCCTTTGTCTATTTGTTCCTCAGAGGTTTCACTTTCGCTTATGTAATGGGCTATGGCATTTTACAGTCATTACCTCATGCTGGGATCTCCTTTTTCTTTGTACCTCCTGATGCGTCATATTCTTGACTCTACTCCCTTGGATCTCTTAGATACAATGCTCTGAGCTGGTGGGTGGGAGTGGGTGGGAGCCAGATTATCTGATGACTTCTCCACCCTTCCTCACACAAGAGCCACTTAGGTTTGTCACCACGCCGTTTCTGTACTCAGTCTTTTGGCATCTTTCAGACTGCACACTGGCTTAAAACTACAGCCGCTACCAAAAGCAATGGGTTTAGATGGGGCTGGAAGACTCCAGGCTCCGCTCTGGGTTGGACACTGGGCAGGCAGAGTCTTCTGAACTCTGGAGCTACATTGACTATTCCCACAGGGTCTGCAGCTGGAAGTGGTCAGTCTCCTATGTGTACCCCTGTCCAAGCCTACACTATTAAGAAGATCTTGAAAGAAACCTACATCTCAATATATGACCGTTCCTTCACTTGGGGCTCATTTTCCTGAGCTCCTCCATATTCTTATATACAGCTGTTTACTTAGATGTCTGATAAGCTTCTCAAGCTTAACATGCCCAAAACAGAACTCCTGCTTCATGTTCCCACCTCACCCCCACCCAAGTGTTACTCGAGAAGAGTAGAACTCTTCTCCATCTTGGAAAATGGCACTACGCTTCACCTAATTGCTCAATCCAAAAATAGGAATCATGCATGATTCCTCCTTTTCTTTCCTTCACCTTTTACATCAAAAAACAGCTAAATCCAAACACTTTTCTCCATATGCACAGCCATCATCCTGGTCTGAGTTTCTGTCATCTTATGCCTGGACAACTGAAATCACCAATGAGGCTCCTTGCTTCCATTCTTTTCCCACTACAGTCCATTCCCACACCACACAGTGGCCAAGGTAACAGAGCACACTGCTTCCTACACTTAAAATCTTCCAATGACTTCCTGCTGCTCTCAGGAAAAAAAAAAAAAAAAAAAATCCCATTTCTCCTGCCCACTTCTCAGATCACATCTCATATCACTCTCCATGTCACTCATGGAACTCCAGACACACTGGCTTCTTTCTCTTCCTTGAAAATGCCACATTATTTTTCATTCATTGCCCTTTTACTGCTATATACTTTGCTTAGGATGTGTTCTTTCACTGGACTTTTTATCATTGAGGTCTCACTTCTTCAATGAAATCCTCGTCCAAATATATCTCCTAAATAACGTTTTTACTTCTTCATATCATTCTTATAATCAAAAAGGATCTTGAGTATTAGTTTGCTCACTTGTTTATTATTTGCCTTCTTCATCCAGAACACAAGGTCAATAAAGACAAGGATTTTGTCTGTTTCATTCACAACTGTATCTCTGGTGAATTTTTTAAATAAATAGGTGTATGAAGTAATGGACAAGCAAATGCTATAGCACATGTGTCAGTTCAACTTAACAAACATTTACTGGGCATCTACTATGTACCAGGCACTTGCCAGATGCTTTAGATTCAAAGATTAAACAAGCCTACTTCTTTCCCTTAATTCTGGAAGTATTTTAGCCCTTTTTCTCTAAATACTGCCTTTCTCACATTTCTATTTTTTTCTTCCTGACCTCTTTAACATCTTGTTTCCCATTTCTTTGCCTTCCCCTTTTTTGCTGTATCCTGAGTAATGTCTTCAGATTTATCTTCCAGTTCTCTAATTCTCTCTTTATCTGTATCTATTGTACTTGCTTCCTGTTTCTAATTTTAATAATTATCCTTTTTATTTTCAGAAGTAGTATTTGACTTTTTCTCAATTCTGCCTGGTCTTTTTAGATTCTGTTTATTTTTTTTCATGTTTTTGTTTCCCCTTTCTATTGCTTTAAACATTTTAAACACTTGATATTTGGTATATAATGTCTAATTCTGTTCATTGTGGTTTCTACTGGCTTTCACTCAGGGTAGCTTATGTGTTTCCTAGCGTGGTTATCATTTTAATTGTGATCTTATGTTCACTGGAACTTTATCTGTTAGACTCCCATGAAGCTTGTGGAATGTCCTTCCACAAAAGAGCTGCTTCTGCCAGGTGCCCTGGTATGCTACCAACCTGGGGCCAATTTAAACTAATTTACAGCTGAAGTTTCCCAGACCATGCAGATAGTATAAATTTCAAATCCTACACTTGTGTGAGGGAAAGATTGTGTTTTAACATCTTATGAGTCCAGGCTAAGACAGACAAAGTTTCTCATTTCTCTTCATTGCAGATAGGTAGGCTTTTTTTCTAGTCTATTCTTTCATTTAGTATGTATCCTTTTGTGAGTCTCACTTTTATGCAGAATTCGCTATTCCTACTCTCCATCTTTTGAGGGCACTAAGCCTGGTCTCGTGTCTCCCATAATGCCCCTAAAACCAAGCCTCAAAGTCACTGGGATAGACAGGCTTCCCAAAGCAGCAGAGCTCCAGTGGTAATTTACCATTTTGAATCCCAGTCTGTGTGCGTACACACATGTGTAATGAGGATTTCCCTAATTTGCATGAGAGTTTGACTATGCATTTAAAAGTATATTTGTTATATTTTATCTAGGATATCCAGATGTTCTGTCTTATAGCTAGAAACACAATATTCTGCCTTCTATGAACATGTGATATAGTTTTGGGAGACAGAAACATCCATTTATCCAACCATCAACATTTTTATTGGTTTTTCTGTATCAGACACTAATAACCAGGTACACTTAAAAATATGCTTAGAGGCATGCCCACAGTGATGAGAGGATGTAGGGGTAAAAGAGACCAATTCTAATGGGGGATCTGGGAAGGTTTTGCAGATACAAAGGTTTTGGAGCTGGATAATAATAATACCTACCTTTTATCTCATGCTTACTCTGGACCAAGCACTGTGGCAAGTACTTAACATGTATGGTCACGATATCCTTACAAGAAGGCATAAGATAGATACTATTCTTAGCATCTCAATTTTACAACTGAAGCATAGAGAATTTGAGTAATGTTCCCTGTCATATAGAAAGCAACTGGCAGTGCCTGGATATGAATTCAAGCAGTTTAAGTCCTGATCCAGGGCTTTTAGCTACTATGCTATATTGTGCTTGAACAGACAGGGATTGGGGGAGGGCGTTCCATCCAGGAAGAAAATAATGCCTATATCCCTAGACGACTGTGAGGATTATTTGAGATACTGTAAGGAAAACCACATGACATGCACTCCGTAAATGCCTACTTTGTTTTCTCTTTACCTTTGTACCATCAGCTTGTCATAAATTCCTTTAGGGATGGAGCCATACTATATCCATGAAGATAGCTTCGATAGCTTCACTCCCACAGAACCTGGTATTAACTAGTGGTTAATCCCTTGGCTGATTTGTCGATGGAACTAAATGTTACTTTGATAGTAGCTTTAGTACTTAGAATTGTATTGCAGTGCAGTTCTCAAAGCACTTTTATATCTATCAGCTCAGTTTATCAGCACATCAGTTCTCGGAGGTAGGGCACATATCTGGCTTTAGTGACAAATGAGCGTTTTACTGAGGTGGGAATAGCATAGTCTTGGGAGAAGGCTAAGTGTGAACTCTGTGTAACTGGATGAAAAGACCAAAAAAGACCGACTGTGGCACTCCAGATAGCCTTAGGAAGGAAGTGGTGGCAGGAGGCCAGGCTTCGATTCCTGAATGGTCTCTCTAGCTCCAATCCTGTCATCAGCCATCCGTGAGAACCATCTCTTTGAGTCTTAGCTGCATCCTGATTCAATCACTGCTAAATGCTTGAAGTGGGCTTCCCTTCACATGATGCCTATCACACTTTGTGGTCAGTGTTCCTCTTTAGACTGAGCTCTGTGAGAGCAGAGACTCCTTATTCACTGGTTGTAACTCCAGCATCTAGAACAGATGTGACACAGAAGGTGATCAAATATCTAGTAAACAAATGATGAATGAATTATTTGGATAAAAAGGAAAGGAGGAGAAACAAGGTCAGCGTCATAGATTCAGATCTCAGGAATGGGGAGAGGAAGCAAGCAGGAACCATGAGAAGGTTGAGCCAGAGAGATGGTCCTGCCAGAATGCAGCACTCGATGAGCTAAGTGTGGTCATGTCTGATTACAAAGCACTTTAAGAGTCAGGGGGCTTCCCCGGTGACTTTAATCACAGCCTGTCCTTTCCATTTGTTTGGCCCCACCTTATTTTAAAGGTATCACACACATAAAATATAGCACTGGCCTTGCCCAAAGGGCCACAAATTCCAGAGAGGTGAGAAAGCTGGATTAGAGGCATGTGTATCAGTGAGATTTTACACCGGTGAGGGATTGCAGAGCACTTTGTGAACATGGCCCAAATCAGCTTTCATCTGCAAAATAAGCCTCCATTCCTCTGGGATCCCCTTTCATTCCCTCTTCAAAGTCCTAGGTCAAAGTTCAACCTCTTGTACTGGCTTGAACATCTATGTGCATTTCTGGGTTCACCTCTGGGGGCAGCTTGCCCATCCTCTTCACCCTCGTACTTCCCTTCCCTTCTCCCTTGCTCAGGGTCTACTTTAGCAGACTTCCACAGACCTAAGAAGCCACAGGCCGCCAGGAAACAGCCCTTTCTTTTGTCTGGAGCATTACGATACAGGGTTAAGTTTGGCCCAAGGAACAGCATGATTAGATCAGCAAATCAACCCGAAAGTTATAGAAACAAGATGTGCTTACCCACCATTACAAAGGGATGCTGTGGTTCTTTCCACTTGGTTGAATGACCTACATTAAAACTTTCGGATCTTGGGTGCAGGTAGAGTCTTTCGGATCAACTAGATGGGGATCTAAATGCACATCCCAGGAGAGAACCAGCTACCAGCTGTAGTTCATCTCACGTCTGAAGCGTGTCCTCACCCAACTAGGAAAATGACCTAATTGTGTACAGACAACAGCAATTGTACAGGGAAAATAATACAGTAATGCAAATATTCAAACCAAATTGGAAAAGCAAAGCAAGAAGGAGCCAGAAAACATTAGATCATTCAGATTGCAACCTGGCCAACTTCAGCATCTGGGCGTGCATCCTCTGTCCAGCTTTTGTTCACATACCATCCCTAATGCTTCTTTGCATTTATAGAATCATGGCTGGGTATTTGCACAAAACCCTTTGTGTGACTGCATTCTAAGGAACAAGGTTCTCACAGTGTCCCTTCAGAAGGGTCAGAGAATTCTCCAGTGGAATGCTTTAATAGGCCTCCGGTTCAGAAAGGGCCTTTCTCTCACTGAAGGGAGGGGTGGGGGAATGATGTACCTTTGGCCAGCATATATGTTTTAATTATGTGACCAGGGCAGGCCTTGCTCATTTTCCTTCCTCACTGGGTCATTTCCACCTTAGTTCTGAAAACAAAAAACAATTGATTAAAAAAAGAGCCTTCCTGACTGAAACCTTGGATCTCCTCTTTGGATTTGGACAAGAAGCAGGGATGTCCCCGTCCCCCCACCCCCACCCCATATCTTAAAGCTGGTTCAAATTCGCCTGAGAGTCTGAGGAATAATGTGGTCTCCCTGTGCACTCTTATTTGTGTGTCTCTGATGAGCGGTCCCCATCCCCTTCTATGGGGAAGTCACAGGCTCTGGAGTCTGCAGCCCTGGGCAGAACCCGGCTCTGCCACCGCAGGATCTTGGACAGGACAGATACCTCTGAAACCTTTGGATCTCTCATGGGTTAAAGCAGAATAATCATACTGCCTCCTGGGTTTGTGAGGATGAAATCTTCTAAAGAGCTCCTCAGAGCGCCTGGCACCTCCTAAGTAGTCCAGAAGTGGCAGGTTTTCTTGTTACCACCACTTGGCTGTCCCTCAGCCTCCTACCTGCCACCTCAGTAGATCATCAGGTACCTCAGCACAAGTCCAGTGAGGAAGCAGCCCAGGAACATATTCTTCAGGATTTAGCACCTGGTCATAGCAAGTTTCTCGGGTTCACGAATGTGCAGCTCCGGAGAATGGCACTTACCGGGTGAATTCCTTCCCCCTTCAGCTAGTGAGTGCTGGACCTTCCTATAGGAACAGGAAGGAGCCAGTCACCGCACAACCCCAACTGACTAGTTGCTTGAGACGTCTTCCTTTCTGAGGCGTCTGCATTTGTCAGGACAGAGGAAGCGCTTAAAAAGCCTGGGCTCCAGGGAGGAGAGAGAAGCGGAGGGGAAAGCAGGGACCGCAGACAGACAAACCCGCCTTTACCTGCATCACGGCAGCCAATGCCTCCAAACCCAGCCGGTCCCCTGGAGGCGCAACCGGGGAGTCACCGCACAGGTCGCACGGGGCTACAGATAGGTTCCCCCGAACCCTAGCAGCCAGGGGCCACGCGAAGTAGAGTAAAAGGGGAAAAAAAGTCCTGGATTCAAGTCCCTCCACTCTTCCTTTCCAGCCGTGTCACCTTGGGCCAGTGGCTGTCTTCCGGGAGGGTGGAGGCCTTCGTTGGTAAAATGTGGCTAATCCCGCCGCGGGAGGCTGGTGCGGAGGATGAAACGGGCCGCGGCGGGCACCGCGCCTGGGCGTGCGGAGGGAGCGCGCGGGGATGGCAGGGACGGGCGGCCCCCGCGGCCCCGAGCCCCGCGCCTCGCGCAGCAGCGGGCGGGCCAGGAGGGGCCAGCAGCACCCCCTTCCCCACAGCCACGCGCTGTCCTGCGGGGCGGGTCGCGCCCAGCCTCCCGCGGTAACCCGACCCGGCGTGGAGGCCAGCCGCCGCTCTGGGTTCCACGAGGCCGGGCGCGCGGCCCCGGGGTCCCCGCGTGCTCTAGCGCCAGCGGCAGGAGCTCCTGGGCGGGGACCGGCGCTCGCGCGGAGGGCAGTAGCCGTTGTCCCGCAGGAGGCCCGCGCCGCCCCGATGGCTCATCGGTCACCGGATGGGGGCCCTGCTTAGTCACAAGTGTTGCAACCCAGTTTCTGTTCTACAACTATTACAAAGAAAAGAGAAAATATTTAAAGAAAATCAAGTGTATGTTTGTATTTGTTACCATGGGATTCGGTTCAACTGTATACAGATATCGTTTTTTGTTTTTTTGGGTTTTTTGGTTTTTTGGGTTTTCTTTCTTTCTTTTAAACCTTTCAAGCTGTGTACTGCAGTGGACAAAGATTACACCATGTTTGTGTTGCAGTGTTGCTGTGGAAGTGCATATGGTTTTATTTGGTGGAAATTTGCAGAGAAATTGAAGGAAGTCATACGCCTGCATAAAAACAAATGTGAAGTTTCAGAAAACAGGCCTCCGAACAAACACTGGAATTAAGGGGGGCTCTTGACAATAACTTAAAATCTGGAATACTGGTGCATGAGTGCAGCTCCACCTGCTTGGGTCCTAACCGAGGAGGCAGGGGAGTTAGAGTCAGACGGTGGAGTTTAATCCGATCTGCCACTACCTGGCCAGGTGTCTTTGGCCAAGTTACTGGGCCATGGCTGGCCTTTTTTTTCCTATCTCTGAAACAGAGAGCAGTTACCCTTACCGTGCATCGCTCTTGTTGAGCGAAAACGAGGTAACAGGTCATGAGCACCATACATAGTAAGTGCTCATTAAATGGTAGCTGTCATTCTGCAGTGGTAACAGCATCCCATTTATGTTCCAAGGCTGTGGGCTCATTCATCAAGCTCTCTTTTGGGCTTTGAGCTTTGGAGCGCTTTGGAGGAGCCAGGGGTGTTCAGTGCTGGCCAAACTTGGTTTTGTGTCATCACAAAATTGTCGTCAGACTGGACAATTGCTGAAAAGTGTATACTTCAGCTGTCAAGGGTCACCCCCTGCAAGCAATGAGGATGATGAGTCTCAGCAAGTTGGTGACACTGTCAGCTGGAACAGTGCTTTCCTCTCAGCATTTGGCTCTGACCTCCCCACTCCATGTCACCAGCAGCAGTCAGCATAGGCCTGAGCACCTCCAAGAGAACAGAAGGCCCATCTCCAAAGTGCTCACACCTGCTTCCTACTCTGAATGAACACTTTGGAGGGCTGGATAATTATTATAATTGTAATGTCTTAAAATCTTCATTTAAATCTTCAAGTTTAATTCATGTAGATTGAAATCTTCCAGGAAAACACTCTGTATACATTTTTTGTATGGCTTGCATTTTGAAAGATTCACAGACCTGTTGAAAGGTTGTCTGCACCACCCTAACCCCAGCCCCTTTCTCCAGTATACACACTGGAGGTTGGCAGAGCATACAGAGAGCTTGTGCTAACCTTTATCAAGTTACTGGATCTAACCGAGCCTCTGTTTTCTGATCTGGAAAATGAAGATGCTGGATTAGGTGATTTCTGAAGGCCTTCTAGACCTATGTGGCTATGACAGTATGCCATTCATCTATCTCGAATAGAATACAAGAGGTCTCTTTCAGCATTCTAGACTGTTGATGTTCTAACCTACATTAGGAAACAATGAGAAAAAAGTCTGTATCCTCCCTCAACCTGAGTGCTCTAGTTTCTCTTCCTTGAAGGGCCTTTAAAAAAAAAAAGCATCTAGAATATACTGACTCACCCATGCTTTTCATAGGCATGCTTTTCATGGGCATGGGACCTTGCCCCAAGCTGGGGACTCCACAGTTGGGCAAACTGTTCCTCACCCTCCCGGCACATGCGTAGCGCTGATTGAATGGACTTTTGTCTTTGCGTCTGCTTTCTTAACACCTTCATTAGGAATGAAGTCACTTTTCTAAAACTAATAAATAGGAGAAAAGGGGAGGGGGACCTAACCAATTTTGTTTTTAAACTATATGCCATATAACTTTGTCTTCAGTCTGTCTATAATTCAATTGAAGTTTTTTTTTTTCTGACAAAATTAGGGGACATATGTTCACTCAGTCTACATAATAGAATGGTCAGGTGTGTGTTTAGACAGGAAATGTGTAAATCTCTTTTTATGTATGTATTATTGCTACAATCGTAAACTTGAAAAAAAAAATGTCTGCCATAAATGGCTCCTGGCACCAGTCACCTCATTAGTGCAGTAAGTATTGCCTCTCACACTAAACACATTAGCATGTTTCGCTGGTTAATGATGTTAACTGTGTGTCTAATGCTAGGATTACTAATGACTCTCAAAGTGCATAACTTTTCCCCTTCTTTCTGCCCCACAACTGTCGTGGTCCTGCATCACACACTGGCCGAGGCAGGGCAATCAAAGTCAGCTCACCGGCTCTGCTCCCAACTGTGAGTCACACACCGACTGTGTGACTCTGGACAAGCCTTTTACCCTTTTTGGACCTGGGGTTCCTCACCTGAAAAACAAAGGGCTCCATGTTGGGCCATCTCTAAGGTACCTTCTGGCATGGACAGGCAAGGATCCTGCCATCCTCCAGCCTGGAGAGGCTCTCTGCTGCCAGCTACTGTTGATTCTTGGAACTTCTATTCCCACGGGGCTGGTTCCAGTCTATACCAGCTCTAAAAATCCTTGGCCCTTGCACTCTACTATTCTTCCTAGAATCAAGAGTGCAGCTTTTGCTCAGACTTGGATTCAAAACCCCAGAGTCAATAAGAACCTGCTCCCATTTAAAGATGAACTCAAGAACTGTAGTCCTTCCTGGGGCAGGTAGATCATATTTCCTGTGTGTTTGCTCTGTCACCTGATGTTTGCTTATCTTCTATTCAGTCATTCGGGGTGAACATTCCATATTTTGCCCTCTTCAGATTCCAGCCAGTTGAGTTTGTGGGCCCTTATGAAAACTTTCCCTGTGGGCGTTTTTCATCTCCATTCTCTTTTTTTAGAGAAGTTTCCAAGAAGGAATGTGGAATACAGCCAAACAGGGTGGTAGATGGTTACCCAGGAGTGGCCTCCACAGGCTGCTGGGCCAGAGGAACAGCAACCCTTAGTGATATAGACTAAAAGTTGGCTCTGGCCTTGGCAGACCCTCCTTTGTCCTTAACTAGCCTTGGGAGTATGTGGTCCTCCCCTGTATCTTTTCCTTTTGCCTGCAATGGGTATATAACACCTTTCAATAAGTACCAGACTGAGAAGTCACCATAAAATAGCATGCCTTAGACAGTACTCTGTAACTCATCAACAAAAATCTTTATAAAGCATTTGAATGGAATATTCTGTCTGGACGTGGGATAAGGTTTGTTTTCAACTTCTCCCGTAAGCTCTTTATTCTTCTGTTCCTATGTTTATTCTTTTTTTTTTTTTTTTTTTTTTTCTTTTCTCTCCTTCCACATCCTAAGTGAAAGCCAGGGGATGACTTCTGGATTATCTTGAGTTTTCAGTAAATTTTTGCTGCTAAATTACCCAAATGAGATCAGGATACCCTGGAGCCACTATACTTATTTGTTACAGGTTGTCACGTAAATAGAGAGGAGCTCTTCTGGGGGGCCCATGCAGTGCAGCCTTCCAGGAGAAGGCATTTGTGGGGAGAAGGAATGCAATGGGCCAAAGCAAGAAGCATGGTATTATTCTGGTAAAGCAGAGTCTGCCATAGGGCACATCCTCTGCCTCCCCCTCTTCTGCTGGACCCAGTGCGGGCAGCATGTGGTGCTTTGGAAAGGCCTTTCTGGAAAGGCAAACCACAAGAATGCAGTCCTGCATGTTGCCTCCTGAGCCACTCAGGGCAGTGATGATTGGCCCCACACAAATGTGCCCATGGGTTCTGCCACTTAACAGCTCATATCTGGAAATACATACTCATGTCATTGCTAGACCAGGGATGGGGGTGAGGTTGGGGACTGATTTGACAGGGATTTCGAATTCGTAAGGGGGCAGCCCAAGCTGGATAGCATGTCCAACTCTGGCCTGTTGGTACGTTGTTCCTGCCCTGTGTGTGACAGTTCCTTTCCCAAACGGGTATTTTGTCCTGAGTCTTAGGGCAGAAGAGACAAACAGATGGAATGCATCAACTACATCTCTTTTCTTAGGCCCTTTGCTGATATTAGTTAAAGCTGCTTAGCTCTTCACTTGGAAGTAGTTTTGACTCCACTTTAAAAGGAACATTTGCAAAGGGAACGCAAACCAGTGCTTTGTCATGAATCCGCATGTTCGGGGAATCCGAGATTTGAGTTCTTGGCGGAATGAAGGAGGCCTCAAGCGGCATGTCTTCCTGAGCCGCGGCTGCAGGGGTGCTGATCCGAGGGCAGGGCTGCTGTGCCTTTCTCCCCTCTCCTCACTCCCGTGGGACTTTCTGCACAGACCTCAACCCACGGCTGCTGGTTTTCATCACTTCTTCAGCTGGAGGTGCATTCAGGCCAGCTGTGGACTCTTTAAGGCATTACAGAGCCACTGAGAGGAATTCAAGGGTCTTGAGGGCGAGGTGGAGAGACTGTGCGTACCACACGCAAGACCTCCAGCCGGCGGGGACGGGGCTTTCACTGATCCAAGGATATTGTTACGTATCCCCCAAAATTCAG